TTTGAGCATAAGCTTTCGTGGGCTACAGCCCACTTCTTCGGATACATAGTGTTGACTGCTTGGTGCGGCACAAGTCCCATCCTCAAGATAAGATACAGAGAAGGCAGGATCTACTTGGCAAGTAGCATGGAGGTACTAATCAATACAGTTTACCTTTGATCTGATTCTCTCTCCCCTTTCAAATGAATGTTAAGATGCTTTGGGATTTTTTGGGGGGGGGGGGGGATGCTGGCTGGGATGATTTAGTTGGGGATTGGTCCTGCTTTGAGCAAGGGGTTGAACTAGATGACCTTCTATGATTTATTTTGCAGGGATTGCCCCAACAGCTTTGTATTATCAGAGTTAATTTTCCTGGTTTCCAAGCTCTGGAGAAAGGCAAAAGGGGATAAATGACACTCTGCCTGCAGCACATGGTCCATGGTATGGGGCAAAAAGGTAGCATTCCTAAATGGAGCTGGCAGTATGCTGTCTTTGGCTGGTAAGTGGCAGGATAGAGGATTGAATGTTATAACACCACACAGAGGAATTTAACTGAACTGATGAGACATCTCATAACTTGCCAGCCCATTGTGGAGATGTCCAGCTTATGAGGAAAATTTAATATATGAACTAGAAATATCCCAGCTGCAAAGACGACCAATGTAAGTAATTCCCTAGTGATAGGACATAACTCTTAGCCAGCTTTCTAATGTCCCGTGATTGAACTGCCTTTTTAAACATACCTTAAGATATTGCTGGATCATGGCTAGTTTTAGCCTCCTGGTGGTCTCCGAGTCATCTGGATCGGCTTTGATGCGTTTGCGCACCACATCCCGTGTGAAGACGCCCACACTATTCTGGCTCTCAGCATTGACTGGTTTACCACGTTGGAAGAACTCCTGAGTCAGGTTATAGACCTGCCAGAGACAGGACAGAAAGAGGGAGAGAGTCACTCACAGCAAGTAGCTCGAGTGTGCAGAATCCAAGCCCTGAGCAGCGTGCGCACTCCTCTTCACCCAGGATCGGTAAGCTCAGGCCACCCCACTAGATGACCTCCTGAGGTCCCTTCCAACCCTGATATTCTAGGATTCTATCCACAGCTCTGCCAGTCAGCAGAGGATAGGAAATCAGAGGGTCAAAGACAAATTGGAAGAACTCTGACCTGCCTAAAATGTTCTCTGGTAGCTATTTAGGAACACACTATATCTGTCGATCCTCCCAAAATATGGGCGTTTCACCATTACCTTCCACTGGGGGAAGGGACAGAGCTTCTTGTGCAATCATGGCACCCTCAAGTGGCTAAATCCTGTTACTCAAGCTACAGTACCAATATTGCTACTGTGTCTGTGGCCCAGTTGCCCGCTAACGGTGGCAGACCAGGGAGCACCTATACCCGAATACTACTTCTGTACAGGCAGGGTTGAAGTTTGGGTTTTTGTTAGGGTGAGAATGGAGTTGGAGAATGTTTGGTTTGGGGGATTGGCTTCTTTTGTAGGGCGAGTGACTGGGTTTGCTATTTCTGATTTTGTGTTTCTCAGACTGTCACAACCTGGCCCTGTCACATGCTTTCGACAGATACCAGTCTGCTGTGAGTGGATCCATCAACTCAATCCCACACACTTCTAAGCCCCCTGGGTCCGGACAGTGTCTGGCCACTGTACCTAGCTATGGGTCTCTCAGGTATAGACCCCATGTCTGACACTCTCCTTAGGTAGTGGGATCCCACAGTTCAACAGCCTAGACCCTGGAACCAGCGCCACGGTCCTCCAGAGCCCCCACGTTATCTGCAGAGTCCACCTGGTCAAGGAAGGTCTGATGCACACACGCACACTTTACTCTTAAAAAACACAAGAATTACAAATCTATCGTTTTCCATAAACTCCATAAATACAATTCCCCTTCAATGTCCTCACGACCCTTGAGAGTCCTGGCATTGGGCTCAGTCCTTTAGGCCAGGCAGCCTGACCTTCCTTGGCCTGACTAGCCTTGCTTCTGGCAGGAGAATGGCTTCCTTTGCATACAGAGCATTCCAGTTTTAAAGACAGCCTCTGACACCTTTCTTGCCCGTGCTAGGGAATTCCAGGTTCCAACACCCCCTCTTCGCCAAGCTTCTAGGCAGAGAGTTGTCCAAAATCAATGGCACTGCTCATAGCAAACCCATTGTTCCACCAGGGTATAAGCCATTCAGTGTTGATGGCCTTTAATTACGCTGTCACAGCTTCCTAGACACAGCCTGCCCTCTATGGTGTCAAGTTCCTGCTACAAACGAACATTCAAAGCCACGCTATAGGTTACATTCAAAATGGTGGTTGAAATACAACATGGCATTCACAAAACAAAAATGGAATCCATAGGTTGACCATTACATATCCCCCAAATTCTAACAGGTTGTATTCTTATTTATCCAGGAGTCCAATATTCTGGAACAGGGGCTCTTATGCTGAAATCAATATATACAAGTGTGAATGATTCACAAGTAAGGAGGCCGCTCGTCTGATTTTAAACCACAGTCCCCCTTTTTGGGTGGTTTGTCCCGTATCCCGTACTGAGACCAAACTGCACATGGATTTGTCTGGGGGACACCATTCTAAAGAGCACGTTGCCCCACCCCTGCCAGCATGACTGGGGCGGCACGCTCCTCAAAATGAGGTCCCCCATGCAGCATGACCTTACGTGTACATGCCAGCAGGGGCGGCCCCCTCCCCGTTCCCAGAAGTACTGGAATGTCTGGTATTCTGGGAATGTGGGAGTGGCCACTCTATACACAAGTGACCACTCATATACGGTCATGAAGCACCCAAGAGTTCCCAGCTGAGATTGCTCAACTGGCTGAATCTTCCACCATTTCATACATTCAGAGACTCCAAGGACAGAAGGGACCATTGTGATTATCCAGGCTAGCCTTCTGTATAACACAGAACTGCCCCCCAAAATAATTCCTAACGCGTAGCTTTTAGAAACACATCCAATCTTGATTTTAAAATTGTCAGTGATGGGGAATCCTCCACAACCCTTGGTAAATTGTTCCAGTGGTTAATTGCCCTCACTGTTAAAAATTTACAATTTATTTACAATCTGAATTTCTCTAGCTTCAACTTCTAGCCATTGGATTGTGTTACACTTTTCTCTGCTGGACTGAAGAGCCCATTATTAAATATTTCTTCCCCAGGTAGGTACTGTAATCAAGTCACCCCTTAACCTTTTTTTGTGTGTGTGTTAAGCTAAATAAATTGAGCTCCTTGTGCCTACCACTATAAGGCATGTTTTCTAATCCTCTAATCATTCTCATGGCTCTTCTCTGAACCCTCTCCAATGTATCAACATCCTTCTTGAACTGTGGGCACCAGAACTGGACACAGGATTCCAGGACTGGTCGCACCAGTGCCAAATACAGAGGTGAAATAACTTCTCTATTCCTACTCAAACTTCCCATTTATGCATCCAAGGGCTGCATTAGCCCTTTTGGCCACTATATTTCACTGTTCAGCATGTCCCATGTTCAGATGATTATCCACCACAACCCCCAAATCTCTGTCACAGTCACAGTTTCCCCGGATACAATCCCCCATCCTGTAAGAATGACTTACATTCTTTATTCCTAGATGCTTGTGCCCAGCTTACCAAGCAATCCACATTGCTCTATAATAATGACTCAAGTTCTTCATTATTTACCAATCCCCAAATTTTTGTGTCATCTGCGAACTTTATCAGTAATGACTTTATGTTTTCTTCCAGGTCACTGCTAAAAATGTTAAATAGCGTAGGGCCAAGAACTGATCTCTGCAGGACCCCCCCAGAAATACACCCGTCTGACGATGATTCCCTATTTATAGTTACATTTTGAGACCTATCAATTAGCCAGCTTTTACTCCTTTTAATGTGTTCCGTGTCAATTTTATAACTTTCTCATTTTTTAATCAAAATGCCATGCAGTACCAAGTCAAATGCATTACAGGAATCTAAGTACATTACTTCAGCACTATCACCTTTATCGACCAACCTTGTAATCTCATCAAAAGAGATCAAGGTAGAATTCTTTTTTTTTTTTTTGAGAAGGCGTTTCATATAACAAGATGACCCAACAAATTGTGTCATTGTTACTGTTGGTGAGGAGGAAGCGGTTATTAAAACACAACCATCACCACCAACCACTTGTGCCCCTCTGGAATAATCAAGTCTTTTGTTTGCATGATTCCAAGAACTGCTCAACTGTGAGTAATGGTACTTCATATCAAATGAAAAACTTACCAGAACAAAGACAGGCAGGAAAGCCCTTAATGATAAATCACAGACGTACAACCAATCCCAGGAATAACTTATTTGTCTAGAATCTGTGCCACCTTCTTATTTATCTAGCACCACAGGGAAGCATAGTGCTTTATAAGCGGAGAGACAAGATCTCTGGTTGGAGAGTTTTTCCCATCGAAGGTATTTGGATTAAAACTACTGACCTCTCTGACAGAACTGGATAGTCATGATTTCAACATACCAGTGTTGAGGAGTAATTATGGAAAATGGTTTAAACTAATTGCCTCCTGCACCTTCCATATAGCTGCAATTCCCAGCCAGAAGAGAGGTAGGAAGATCCTGGACGTCCATCCCTGTGGCTTGTAGTAAGAAGCTGCAGGGGCCACTAGAGGCCACATGCTTTCTCCCACCCACCACAGCTGGTCCCCGTGTTCTATCCCAGTCCCTCGGTGCACTACAAAGGCCTGGCTGCCAGTGGGCAGCGTGAGGGACAAAACACAAGACAGCGGTTGCAGAGGGAGAGAAAGGATCTGTTGGCCTCAAAACTCAGAGGTCTGCTGTCACGTGGCCAGACTTATAGACAACTGCCTTTTGGAGTTTTCAGGCGCCAGGGGATTCAGTATCTACCTTGATAAGGAAGGACAGACATTTGCCATGTATTTTCCTTGAGACCCTCGCAGTTGTTAATGCAGTAGTTGCTGTTTGGCCGTTTCCAGGCCCTGGATGACTCACCTGAAACTGTACTTCGAGCTTTTTGTGCAGTCATTCGGCTGCTAAAAACGTCTGAGAAAAAAACGATGAGTCTGGCAAAATGGCAATCGGTATTGGGGACTATGGTATCAAATTGACCTTTTAGTTCTCAGGACAAAAAGTCGGGGGGAGGGGGTTGGGTGTTTCCTTTTTGCCTCTGTGTACTGCCCCCCTGTTGTGACTGTAATTTGGGGGGGTTGCTTTGAAGTTTTATTTAATAAACATGAACAGAGAGAAAAGAGACAGGAAGTGAACTGGGGTGGGGGGTGAGAGAGAAAACAAATGAAGGAGCAGTACCAGAAAAAACCAAAACATAGAAAAAGAAATGATGAGACGGGAAGACACACAGAAGAGAATAAGGAGACTGGTAGAAAACAGGAAAAGAGAAGGATACTGATTGAGGCACAGAGCTGTCCCAAAGCATAGGGATTTCGAAACAAGAGAGGTTGGGAGTCCTTAGCAGTGGAGGGGGGGGGGGAATGGTCTCTCTCTCCCCCGCCTCCACATCAGAAGTATTGTGGAATTTCAGCAGGCGGCAGTTCATGGGCCTACACTATGGCACAGATTTCTGAGGTCTAACCACTTCCAACAAGTACTGCTAAAAGCTGCCGCAGACCTTGCCTCAGCATAATGCAGCTCAGCTTTCATAAGCCGATTGCAGACTATAAGCAGATAACACATTCACAAGACAAGCAAAGCTGTATTAAAATCCAGTTACCACTTGGCCCAGAGACTAAATTAGCCATAGGCATGTTTTCATTGTCCATTGTAGTATTCACTGGGCACCAGAGGAAAGAAGAGAAACACACATTTCTCCCTCAGTGGGGAAAACACCAAATGAGTTTTTTTTCCCCTAAGTATGTGATCCAACTGGTCAGACAACAGGAAAATATCATCGTCTGTATTTATTATGATAGCA